CCCTACTCATGTGCGGCTAATGCGGTCTTTTTTGCGGACCGGCAACTTTCCACTTGTCGGGTCATAGAAGTCGACATCTACAACTGGCATACCACATAGTTGCACAATTAAATTCACGAACTTCGAGGGCCAGTATGTCACAGGGTTAGCTTCTGTGATTCCTTGCGACCTTGCTACGGCACGAAAAGTGTAAAAACGCATAATCGCACCGGCTCGCCTGGTGCGTTCCAGCCTGGGTTTTTTTTTTTGGTTAAATAAAGATTTGTTGGTCTATCGGTCCTAGCATATTTAACAAATACATATTTTGAAGTTTATGCAAAGTATTTAATATCCAAAGGTAGGGCTGTACCACAGGTCAAGTAAAACCCAGTACTGTCACTTATGGTTCTTCGGTGGCAGATCTGTCTGGTGTAGTTAAAATGTAGGTCGCCTTATTTTGCAGAAAAGTTCCGGTGAATTGTAGCATTTCAAATAACGCAAGCAACAAACCGGTTGAACATGTGGCGTTGATTGCTGTTGCAGGATGCTCTGACAACGATGATCTGGCTGCGAAGATACGGGAGTTGAGCAAGACGGCTGGAAGATGGATACCGGCCTTTCTGCCTTCCGAGGAGCGTCCGCCGATGGAAACTACAAAAATTATATTTAATACTAAAAAAATGCTGTAGTATAATGCAGCCCTCTAGCAATTTAGAATCAACGTTCTGAGCATGCACTTTCTAAGGATAATGAGCATTTGTTGCGCGAAGATCGTGGCGCATGACGCAAATCCGGCGTAACTTTTTGAGCATGAAATTCCCAATGCACGAAAAGTCTCAAGGCGAATGCATTACACAGTAATTGTTAAATTAAAGCAGTTTTTACAATGTTACTTTTTTCGGGCAATTAATACTAGCTAGCGTAAAATATCTGTTAAGACAGCAAATGAGTTATGAAGCAGGATCATTATCGCTGTTGAGTTCTATGTCTAAAAGTTCTGATCAGTGCATCATACATAATGAGGTTAGCATCCTTTTGGCATTACGCAATTCGTTCGTACCTTCATTGCATAACAGACAACTCTTCCTGTCAAGTGTGCATACTACAAATGCTAATTAAATCCAAGGACAGAGAAAGGTCACACGTGAGATCAGAAAAGCTGAAAGAAAGATGCCTCTTGAAAATATGGGTAATCAGAAAGGAGAAATAAATGGCCAGCGCATCGACTGCCGGTACGAAGACGCGTTTTTTGCATAGTTCCCTGCAGGTTTTTGTTGCTAACGGCACTGTGTTTTCCGACAGATGCTTCTAGCTAAAAGAACTAAGACTGGCCGCCAGGACTTTCAGGAAGCAGCACTTTAAAATTTCAGCTTTTAGCCTTCCTGCTTCCCGAATTAGTAACTTGCCAAAAACTTTCATGGGCCCGTATGCAGGAACCACGCATATCTCACGGGTTAGGTTTGAACTCATTAGGTCTCTACATGGATGGGGAACATCCCCTTAAAATTCTAGTCTTCTAGCTTCTCAAGTCCTCCAGTTAGCAGTTTGCCTGCCAAAAACATTGGCGGACCTGTACGTGAGTACCACGCGGGTAGGAGCGCCCATTTTGGGCTGGGGCCCATGCGCACATGTAGACTAAGTTCCCAAAGTTTCAGTTCTGTAGCTTTTATAGGCCTCGCGATAGAAAACCGGTACAGGCGCACAGATACACACACACATACACACACACACACAACCTTCGACAACATGCGTTCTGCATTGCATAGATGCAAAAAAT